GCCCCCACCAGGGCGGCTGCCCGCGCCTCTGGAGCGCGGTCGGGGCATCTGCCCGCCCGTGGCCTCGGGGTCGGATCCGCTCCCTGTGCGCTGCTTGTCGGCCCTCCGGGGAGCCGAGCGACGTCTGGAAAGGGCTCGGGAGCGCTTGGAAAAGCCTCAGTTATTTACAGTCCCCGAAAGCGTACGGCCTATCAGTGCATTTACCTACTAGGCTGATTTGCTGCTGTTACAGTGTTCCTTCTGTGTTTCAGAGCTAAACGAAGTGGTTAGATGGGGTTACAAAGGACCGGTTAGCTTCTCAAAAGGCACCTTGAGTCATGTGTGACTACTCCAGTAGTCATAGATGGGGTCGTCAGGCTGTTCAGCTGGCTAAATAGTTCTGCCTCCAGCCTGGCTGAAGATGCTCTTTGATGGCATTTGTGTCACCCGTTTATGACAGCCAGGCACTCCATAACATCACCCTGACTCAGTCAGTCTTCCTCAGGTGGTGGAGTGATGCCACGATCAGTGTTCTTAACACTGCGGCTGTTAAGGGCCACGGGGAGCTAGCAAAACACCATTATCATAATTTTTGGAAGTAGTAGTTTGCACATCAGAAGTTTTGTTTTCCTACAGTGTGCAGACAGATTTCCACATTTCATTTCAGGGAACACAAAACTAACATGTTTGGTGAACATTCCTCATAATTTTGAAGTGGAGATTTGCTGTTGGTTAAACAAAGAGAAACATACCTCAAGCTCTGAAGTATTTCTCTTACTTTCTACTTTGAAAAGAGGTAGTCAGAGGACTCAGGAAGAAGGATGGAATTCTTGCTGTTGTAAAACAGTCTTTTTGCCATGATAGGCCAGTTGAGTACAATGAAACTTAGAACAATGCGTTCTTATAGCTGAGAGCTAAACCTCAGCTTTGTTAAAAAACCCATTAATTGCTAACTGAGATGTCTCAAACTTGGTATCTAGCGTTTCACTTTTTTACACTCACAGACAACATTCCTCCAGCGTCGGCCCACACCACGGATGCAGATGCTCTACAGAAACTTATTCATTTGCTCCAGGCCACAGATGATCCATTAATTCAAGAGCAAGCTTTAATCACTCTCAGCAACAGTGCTGCCTTCTCTGTAAATCAAGTAAGTATTGTTCTGTAGAAAACAACAGTGTTTCCATACCAGTCGGTGTGGAATATGAGAGGTGCTGTTTTGCTGAAGTGACACAGGACTGAGAGCTGGGATTGCTTGTGTTCTAAAATCCATTTCATGTCAATGCCTTCATTTCTGCTACCTTAAATAATACAATTCACCAGCTTCACAGAATTTATCTAAGCTTAATGTTTGTACAACTTTTAAGTTGTACAGACTTCTGTATTGTAAAAGTGCTGTAAATTTATCTTCTGTTGCTTACTGTGATGTTAATGGAAGGGTTGAATTAGAGAAGAGTTAAATACTTTCAGGATCGGATCTAAAATTTACTGGGATAATTTAAACTAATTTTTAATCTTTACAAAGTTGTATGCCATTTACAACTATCCAGGTCTCTTTGAATCAACTGGAAATACGCTGCAGAAAAACTCGGGGCTGGATGCAGATTTTCATACCTTTGTCAAAGTTGAGCCACCAGCCTCCCCTCTTCCCCCCTTTATGGTATGGTACTTATGACAGCTGTCTGTTCTGGCTTCTCAAAACTCTTTTCTTACAAAACTCCCAGAACAGAATGTAACTGAATCCTAAGGCACATTGGCCCATTTTTCATTTTCTTGAAAATGGTACGTATTTTTTTTCAGTGATGGTTAGAGTCTAAGTAAGAAAATTTAAGAAGAAATAAAATCAAGTGTAATGGAAGAGAAATATGTTGTAGAACTTCTGTTCATAATAATATAAAGCTGCATCTTGAAATTCTTTTCTGTTCATCCAGGACTTCTAGGTACTGTGACCTGCCTCAGCTATCCTATAAAGTCATTATGCAATAATTGCCTTTGATTCTTTATGATCTAAAATGCTTTAAGCATGCTTTGCAGGCCAGATTTTAAAATTAAAGGTGTTGAGCCATTGTCAAATAATGTCAAAAAATACTTTGGCCCTGCAGGATCATTCTTAATTTCAGTGGAAGCAATAAAGCACTGTATGCCAGCACTCTCTCTTTAAACAGAGTAGCCTATTCTGGAAGTCTTCATTCACATGTTCCTTTTGTGTTAAAATGAAAACTTTGAGGAAAGCCTTTAATTCAAATTTTTAAAAGTCTTATTTAATATCTGGTTTATATTTCAGGATATAATCCGAAATTTGGATGGCCTTTCTGTTATTGGAAGGATGCTCTCAGACTGTGTTCCCAAAGTTAAAGAAAAAGCACTAAATGCACTTAATAATTTGAGTATGAATATTAAAAATCAGAAAGAGATACAGGTAAGTGTCTTAAAGGGTAAAATCAAAGTAATTGAGTCACAGGAGACCATAAAGGGCTTTCAGCATATTTGTTAAATACAGGCCAGGATGTCAAAATGTTTTGTTCTAGACATACGAGTCAGCAGATCTGGATGATCTGTGTGTCCCAAGGCCAAAAGGATAACTTAAAAATACATTGCATCACTGGCACTTTTTAAAAAGAGAGTTAGGGAACTAGGCAGCTTGTGTTCAGCTCTCACCAAATGCTGTTCAACAGAGATTGTGCTGCCGAGTTTATAGTAAAGTCATGTGAGGCAAGATGATTTCCAGACATGTAGACAGAACATCAGCAGTGGCTGTTTAACAGGATGGATTGCAGACTGAACTTAGCGTGACTCTGTAGGCAAGGCAGAAGAAAACTGCACTTGATCCCCTGGGTTTTTACGAGACCAGTTTTTCAGGGTAATACTCTCATCTTAAAAGAATAGCATGTAACAATGGTAAGAAGTTCAGTTGGGAACTACAGCTGAAGAAAGTATTTAATTCCAAGACTTGTTCTCAGCATTTAAGATGATGTTAGTTGCTGTAAGTGATTTTTTTTAAATAACTCATTAGAATCATAAAATCATGGAATGGTTTGGGTTGGAAGGGACCTTACAGATCATCTAGTTCCAACCCCCCTGCCATGGGCAGGGACACCTTCCACTAGACCAGGTTGCTCAAAGCCTCATCCAGCCTGGCCTTGAAGACATCCAGGGGTGGGGCATCCACAACTTCTCTGGGCAACCTGTTCAACCTGGGCAACCTTAAAACAACTGTGCCACTTCTGAGATGGGAGTCAAAGCAGTTGGGTTGTCAGAGCAATTTATGCCTCAGGAAGGTTAGCAAGCATAACTCTGTAACATGTGCTTCATCATGCCAATAGAATGTTTGAATGTATTCAGAACAAACCAAGAAAGTACTTGTTTCCAAGAACCTTGATCAGATTATGTGTTCAGCCAGCAGTATCCAAGAAGTATTTATGCTACTGTAGCTAGGCCACTGATACTCCCCGTGAGTACACAATCTGTACCAAAAAAGGTCTCCTTTTATCTCCTTCCCTTTTTCCCCAGGTATATATTACACAAGTCTGTAGGAACGTTGAGTCAGCTCCCCTGAACTCTGATCTGCAGCTCGCTGGGCTCAGATTGTTGACAAATATGTCTGTCACCAGTGACTACCACCATAAGATGATGAGCTCAGTTCCGTGCTTTCTTCATCTGCTTTCAGAAGGAACGGAAAGGACACAGGTACTGGGTACTATGTTGTTACAAACCATTTATGAAGCTCCTTTACCTGCCTCCTTCTTACTGTTTTTGTAAAATGGTTTAGACTGTACTTAGAAAATCAAATATTCATTAGTGATAGCAGATAGTGCATAAAAACTGAAAAATACGGATCTGTATTGCTCAATGCGTATTCAGAAAGAAGGGAGGAAGGTCATCTTCATAGTGGAACCGTTGGGCTAGAGCTCTACTGAAGCAGTGCTGTGCGCTGCTATTGTCCTCTGCCTTTGCCATAGCAACTCCAGAATTCTTTTCCGCTCGCTCGACATTGCTACTGCATCACAGAGCAAGGTGAATCTGCATGTGACAGGCTTCACCGATGCATGCATCTCTCTAGATAAGCATGCCAAGCAGTGATAACCTAAGTTATGGACTCTGTTCCCTTATGCTTATTACATCTCCTGCAACCCTAGCAACTGCAGTGGGAAATTGTGCTTACTTGTGAATTATTATAATATTGAAAGAATAGAGAAGCTTCAAATAGGGACCAAATTCAGCATTGAATATTCAAGATGTCACAGTACCATCAATGTACTCAGTTGCTTTATCAGATCAAAACCAGTTTTCCAAAACACAAATTTCCACTAAACTCTGTAGACCTGCATTACTTCAGTACGGCAAGCAGCACTTGGCCTTTTCCCAGTGTTTAGTTAGTGTCACATGGTCCAGAAAAGTACAAAGGAGTGTTTGTATGTGCTTCTGATCACATTTTAATCCATCACTTAACCATCCTCTGTATATTCTAAAAACCACTCTGTACCTTCCCTACGGTGGATTGTTTATAGGTCTTGTCTTATTTTGATATTTAAGTCAAACTGAGTTTGCTTCTAAAATGCCTGCCCTTGGTACATATGTGCTAGCGACTCCGTAAGCTGCTCTTTCAGCAAAGACTGAAGCGCACAACGCGAGATGTTGGTTGACCCACTCTACCTTTTCCTCTCCAAGTCACCATCGTTGATGCCCGTTATTGCTGTCCTTGCTGGGTTTGGGCCTTGCAGTCAACTCGTGTGTTCCTCATTTCAGATTCAAGTTTTGAAAGTACTCGTGAACTTATCTGCAAACCCAGCCATGACAAGACACCTTCTCAGAGCTCAAGTAAGGGTCTTGCTGTTGCATAGTACCTTTAGCATCTATACATGTGTATGTGTGTAGGGATGTGCATGCGTTAGAAGAATTTGAATGTATTAGAAGTATCTATGCAGCTCCAGACCAAAGTTCTAGGCAGTACCTGGTTAAAGTTAGTAGCTAGAAGTGTACGTTTTCCCAGGCTTGCATTCCTCCGCTGTGCAGTGTCATACATGTACCGTACGTGCAGAGGGAGAGCCACAGGGCCTGTGCACTTGAAGACAGTAGGTCATACTTCCTGTCTACCACTCCAAATAATCTGCAACAGAAGCCTGTCCTCACCTTCCCTTTCCACCAAAGGGGTACTACCATGCGCTTTTGTAAGTGATATACATAAGGTACTGTGAGTTTCAAACCCAACCCCTCATCTCCAGACACGCAGTCAGTATACAGACTGAAGACATCAAACACAACCAGTACTGTAAATGATCCTTCTCAACAGCTGTTTCTGCAGCTAGTGTACTGTACCCGACATGGCCAAATTCCACTGCAATCCACACACCTTCACTCAAATGCAGCCGTAAGACCCTGTCTCTAAGCCCCGCAAGTGAATTTTCCCTGTGCATCTATTTGTCCGGGTGGAGAACTGGGGCATCAGCTACTGCTGGCCTAGGCAAGCAGGTTTGTTACATCCTTCCCTCGCACCAGATCAGAGAGTCAGGGGTTGGAATGGTGCTGCAGCCTCCTGCCTCCTTCCTCCTCCTCAGAGTAAGTTGCAGTGGCTTTTGTTTTTGAGGTACCTGCCATGAGCAAAGCTGGGCTGGATACTGGCAGCTTTTCATTACTGAAACAAGGTTAGGGTAGCTAAATATTCCATTCTCTGTTAAACATCAGAAGGATATAGACCGGTTGGAGCGAGTCCAGAGGAGGCCACGAAGATGCTCAGAGGGCTGGAGCCCCTCTGCTATGGGGACAGGCTGAGAGAGTTGGGCTTGTTCAGCCTGGAGAAGAGAAGGCTCTGGGGAGACCTTATAGCCCCTTCCAGTACCTGAAGGGGCTACAAGGAAGCTGGGGGGGACTTTTTACAAGGGCCTGTAGTGACAGGACAAGGGGTAATGGGTTTAAATTGAAAGTGGGGAGGTTTAGGTTAGATATCAGGAAGAAGTTCTTCCCAGAGAGGGTGGTGAGGCACTGGAATAGGTTGCCCAGAGAAGCTGTGGATGCCCCATCCCTGGAAGTGTTCAAGGCCAGGCTGGATGAGGCGTGGAGCAACCTGGTCTAGTGGAAGGTGTCCCTGCCCATGGCAGGGGGGTTGGGACTTGATGATCTTTAAGGTCCCTTCCAACCCAAACCCTTCTGTGATTCTATGAAAAGTGGATCCTTTTCTTATTTATCAGATGTGCTAACATAAACATATTCAGATCACTGCAGAGGGCAAAAGCAACATTATTGAGGAGGGAAGCAGACCCTCTCTTCCAAATGGGAATTTTCCAGACAGCCGCATTTTGAAGTTAGAAAGTACAAAGCCTTTATTAGCCAGTGGTGCATAAGCCAGTCTTTTCTAGAGAGGAAACGTGCATGCTGTGCAAGTTTCTGTCATGCTGTCACAGCACGTGGAGTTTTGCTCTTTCATAGGGTTTCTGGCTTATGTGCAGATTTTTCTTTCCATTTTTTTAAAGTTCGTTTTAGTTACATGTACTTGCTGCTGGGGATCAAGCATGGATTATTTCTTCAATATCCTAGGTGCCATCACTGCTGTTACTTTTTGACACCTGTATAAACAGAGACATTCTGCTTAGAGCGCTGGCATTTGCTGCAAACTTGAAAAAGAACGTGAACGATGAAGATGTCGCTGTGATTCAGGACCAATACAGTGAAGATTCAATTTTCTCTACGCTCTGCAGGGACTCTACCTCATTCGCTCAGAAACTGGCGTCTTTGCTGCATCACCCTGATGCAGAAGTGAAAGAGCAGGTCGTGAGAATATTAACACAATAGCAATTGTTTTAACAGACTGACCTGATGAAAATCTCTAATTTCAGGAATGCTATGCTAAAAAAACAACCCCAACAAGCAAATAATAAAACAACTCCAAAACCACGGAATGCTACCGTATTACTGGGCACAAACCAGTTACTATGAAAGAGAATGCAATGTATTTAATATAAAGAGCATAACAGTTGTTTTTGTTATTTGTTTGTTTGGGGGGAGGTTTACAAGCAAAATAAAAGCAACCACTTAATCGGTACAGAGAAACCGCTGTACAGCTGGTATATGTACACAAAAGGGAAGGAGTAGTTTAAAACATGAAAACATTCATATGTGTGGTGAATATCGTAAATGGAAAGGTGAATCGAAATATTCTTCTCAATGAAGAATTTTTGTTGCCTTTGAATATTTACAGCTGTTGTGTAACTATAGAATGATGCATTAAAGATTTAGCAATTAGAGATTAGGCATTTACATTTTATTAATCCAATACCTACTCAATGGGTACAGGCAAACCTTAGAAATACTAAGTAAAACCAATACCAAACTGTCATTGACTTCCTACAGAATTAGTGTTTTCAATGAAAACTGAGCATTAAAGTTACCCAGCCTATGTTGTTTCACCTTACCTGCATGGAATGCACTCCAAAAACTACTCTCATGTGTAGCATATCCATTCTGTTCAACTGCAGTGCAGTTAACGACAGCTGCACAAGGCTTCTGCACTCGAACCACATCAAAAGGATTTTATCTCTCTTCAAAATTGTCACTTTAAGGAAAGAATACCTATTTTTCCAAATATTTTATTATGAGTCAAAGATTATATGCAACTGCAATTCAACATTCTCATGTTTATAAAACAGTTTTAGCAAAGCTTTCTGTTCTGTAGCAGCCCTTGAGCCTGCTTCCTTGGAGAGCTTCACTCCTTTTTCTCTGTGATTGAACCATCATCCGAGTAAGTGCTTCTGTTGAGTTAGCCCCCATAAAGGTTTAGCCATCAATCCAGCATCGATTCAAAATAATCTCATGAAGTCTTCATTCCCAAATGACGTAGAATTCGTAAAAACATCATTGTGAAAGGACCTGAAGGAAGTTTCATTGATGAGCATACTAGAAAACACTTCATGCTGAAATAAGACCACTAAAACTTCCAGAGTGCTGCATCATAAAGTAAAAGAAGTGTCAGATGTAAAGTTTTCCATCTTGTACCATTTGTAAGATACATTTCCCTGAACTGTTACCAGATTCTTCATCTCCCTAAGTTAAGATACCCCCTCTGCCCTTAATGAAATACTACTCTTCCCTTTCTGTAATTCAGTAGATAATTTATTTTCAGTAGGCGACTTGGCAAATAGCTAAAACTGCAAGAAAAACGTGACCTTGAAAACACAATGTATCTGTGCCTTGATCAATGTAGGGGTAAAGCCTCATGTATCTCATTTACCTACGCGGGTAGTTTTGACTCATCAGGAGTACAGCTGAGGCAGAAATAGAAGTTGGCAGGATTCCCAGTCAGAACCCGGACAATGGCTGCACTGACAGTGAACTTCCCTTTCTCCTTCCCACTGCCCAAAAACTGTTCATTCTGTAGTAAGTTACCTTACAGTCACTTCATGGTTTGCCACTTCCTGTAGATTTTTTTTTCCCCCCGCTGCTGTATTTAGGAAATTAAAATAAAGGCTAGATCAGACACTAAGGATTGACCAATCCCACCTTTCTCCTCTGACAAGAACTTGTAAGTAGCCTGTTCTAGGTATAGCTGATATCTATGTCTTCAACTTCAGTTTTATCCATGTCCTTCAAAGTACTCACAACACCCTGCAGCCTGGGGTCCTCCACAATACTATGAATGTGTAATAAGCATTATCTTATCTAAATCATTACTGAAGCTATTGTGTAAATACGAGGCCCAATAGGGACTTCATCTGAAATACCTTCCCAAAATCCACACCAAAGGACTGAGAGTATTTTTAAACCACTTTTGAACACATTCTGGTGAATACATCTAGACTGTACCAGAATTGCCTTTTCACATAAGGAAATCTTGGTGTTTGTCAAACGCGGATTCCACCGAAGGAATATAAGCTGCTACTTCTTATATCTGAGTATAATCCTCTCTTCCAGCTCCCTTCCCCTTCCTCGGCATAAACCTGGACTAACTGAGCTTTGCCTCCTTGTGTCATTCTGTGTTGGTGTCAAGATCTTTAAGACTTCTAGGACTTCCCGGTACACATTTTTTAAGAGATAACTGTTAAAAGATTACTTCTGTTTGCTCCCAGCATGAAGTCTCGTTAACTGGTTTTAATTAGTGGTGCACAGAAAAAGTAATGCACAGCAAGAGCAAAAAAAAACCCCACACATATCCTGTAACAAATGATGAACGAAAAAAATATTTGCCGATGAACTACGAAGGAGACGACCCATTTTAATGGCAATAGGCTTTAATTCTGCAAATTAGCATGGCAATTTTATACAGATACATTTAGCCAAATTTTACAATACTGAACAATGTTGTAATCTCATTCAACTTTAAAATTAAGGGAAGCTCCAAGAAAAAAAAAAAACCCACAGCCTTTGCTTAAGACTTTAGACACATTGAGGCCTAACTTAAAAATATTGACAAAACAATGAAAGTGTGCAGATACTCTGGCCAGCAGTAAGTTTTACACATCAATGATGCAATATTAAATTATAGCTCTCGTTAGAAGGCACATTTCTTTAGATCATTGTAAAATTCAGCTTTTGTGGTTCGTCAGTGTAGAAGCATTCAGTAAAATAATTATGTTCCTGTGCTTGTGCTTTAACAACACAGCTGTATTGGAAGACTCCACCCACAAAACATGCAGTGAAGCTACCGAGGTCCAGGGCATAACCTGAAGAGTAATAACAAGTGGGAGATGACATTCTCACAATGGCTAATTCAAGTCAGCCATTAATGCTAAGAATATGTCCTGTGCTGAGGTTATTATTGCTGCTGCAGGTAAGATGAAGAGTTTAAAAAAATCAACCAAAACACAAAAAACCAACCAACCAACAAAAACCCCACAACCACAGTAATTTATCAGTGGTGTACATAAGAGTTGAAACTGCAAGTTATTCCCAGACATTACCTTATATATTAACCAGTTTTTAGATAGATTGTTTCTCAATTATAAACAACATAAGTAGTAAAATTAATCATGAAATTGGTATGCAAGTTGTAATTCTGAAACTGGCAAACCTGGCATCTAAAAATCCAATTCACTCAAAAAAAAAAAAAATTACTTTGTCAGTACATCATGTTAGTATTTGTAACAACAATTGCTAGTTTGAATCAACCAAGGCTTACAAGGAACTGCTATCAAATCCATCATTTGTACTCAAGTCCCGCGATTCTCCATGGTGTAAGAGGAAGAAGTCATCCTTTTTCAAGCCGTATCTTTCAAGAGCTTCATTGAGTTTAACTGGAGGATCCATGTAATACTGGAAAAATAAGAATAACATGAGGGAAAAGATACCATTGCAGCATTTGGGGAAATAAAGAACTGGTTTACATGTTAAACATTATCTTTAAAAAAAAAAAAAAAGGTGTGGGGGAGGAGGATATTTATCAAATTAAAACGTTTGGTTTCATTTTCAGTTTTTAAATGGAAAGAATACTGATTTACAGTTGCAGAGGAACCAGCGAGGCCCAGCCTATCACCCAAAAGTCAGTCATCGTCAATGCACCGAGCCAGCTGCCTCACCGCAGCAGGTGCCACCTCCTCCGATCAGCAAGACGCAGCGCTCAGCCTCACTGCTCAAAAACCAGCGCCATTCCCTGGCAGCTCCCCCGGTTACTTCCCTGTTCTTGTTACATTGCAGAGGAGGCATCCTCAGGGAGGTATCATCAGGGGTTTTGCTTGCATTTGGGTTTTCCCCCCCCCACATACAGGATGTGACAGACACAGCTGACACAGCTGCTGGGAGGCATGGTGGAAAGACAACGCTATATCCAAGTTAAACAAAACATGACATTGGTGACAGCATCAGGACTGAATTAAAAGATCAAGTGGTGCAACTGATGCAAAAACAAAGTTGAAAAACAGTTACCAGACAAGGTGTATCAAAGTAGATGCAGATACTTCACTTTCACTGCATTTTTAGTCCTTGTGAAAGTACTGAGTAACCTCCTTATTAGAACTGGGGGGCCTTCACTTTCACTGCATTTTTAGTCCCTGTGAAAGTACTGAGCATCCTTATTAGAACTGGGGGGTAGGGTTTAAAAAACAAACCAACCCAGTCACCAGAAACTCTAACTCAGTTTTTCATATTCTTACTGGTATCTCACTATGAATTAGATACCTAGAATAGAATCTAACTATTAAAAATACTATTCCATTTATCTACTAGGCAGATGTGATTAACAAACACTGTATTGACCTGCAGGCATGCAGTCTGTACTGTCCCCGAGTGATGCACTGCAGAGTTTATTGTTATTACTGCATACCTGTCCCCACCCTTCACGTTCCTCAGCTTTCAGAGACTGGAAGTCCTCCACGTTTGTTTCAATAACTCTCTACTTTCAAACTGATCTTAACAGCTGAAATATTTTATGTAATGGGTTATGAAAAGCTAAGCATCATTTTGAACTGCAGTTCAGACAGTAAAAACTCTTCACTCACGCAAAGTTTACATACACAGATACGTAGGTTAAACTGCATGAGCAAAGTTCCAATAACGACTGTGTACTCGGGAAATCCGGATCCGAGTGTAGTGTTGAAGTTTACCTCATTTGCTAAAGCAAAGGTCCCCCAGTGAATTGCTACAGACTTCTTTGCTTGAACATCAATATGGATTCTTACTGCTTCTTCAGGGTCCACATGCTGGTGTTTCATAAACCACCTACCAAAACACAAAGGAAGTTTTTTTTGTGCCACCCAATGCAGAGCAAGATTTCTTCTTCACTTCTACTGGGTAAGCTGCAAAGATTCTAACACAAGTACGCTCACCTAAATCAAAAAAAACATGGAGCACCTGTGTGAGCAACACACAGAACACTCAAACAAGCTGCAACATACCAAGACACCCACAAAACAGCAGTTCATGGGTTTCACTCTCCTGTGAAATACAGAAAAAAATGTATTTTTTCTTATCTGTATTTTTAATAGTATGAGGACATATTACTGGTGCCTTGAAGTATGAAGGCCACAGATTTAAATCCATACCTGGGGAAAAAAAAAACAAACCCAAACCATAATGCTAGCAGCACACACCAAGAAGCATGTGCTTCAGAAGATAGCTTAAGGGAATGGTGGTAAAGCAGATGAGAGAACCTGGCAATTCTTGAAAGATCCCAGATTTTACCATGTTATTCAGATTCCTATCTTCCTTTCCCAGCCTATACATGCTTTGCTTCCGGCACTAGGATGAGCATTATCATCAAAAAGCTTAGATGCCCAGTAGGATACAGATGCCTAAAGGAACAGATCTTTCACACTCTATAAAGCACTCATCTTTATCTCCAGATATGCTGCAAAAGCAGCATAAAGACTGAAGCAAGGAAAAAAACCAAAATGCAGCAAGTCACCTGCATCTCAATGGGTTGGATTAAGTGATGCTATTTCAGAAAAAAAAAAGTGTCACAAATTCCAGGTTTTTACTCAACATTTTTCATAGAAGAAAGTCAGCCGATTCATCCTTGCTCTGCTTAAAGTTGAAAACTCTCAACAGCATGACACGTACACAGACAAGCATCCTAGACACTTCTGCTCCATCCTCTGACTGCCTGGGAGTTTTTGTCATCCAGCAACGCCCTGTTGCCTCAGCAATTTCCTTCTTTTACCTCTACATTCTACTGAATATTCTTAAAGTATACCTACAATTTTCACTTCTGGGTGTAGTGTGTGAGGGTTTTTTGGTTTTTTTTTTTGCCATCAGCATATAATTTCATTTATGTATTTTGATCAAACTTTGATTTTCATACCTTGGCTCATAGGCTCCAATGGGGATAGCTGCAAGATCAAAAGGTCCAAACCTTTTACCTATCTGTTCAAAAGCAACACAATATCCAGTATCTCCTGAAAAGAAAAACCGATTCCAAGGTCCCAAGACAGACCAGCTGCCCCAAAGAACCTTGTTATCATCTGTCGCAGTCCTTTTGCACCAATGTTGAGAGGGGGTGAAGACAAAGGTTACCGCGTCGTGACCAGGGACACAGTTCTCTTCCCACCAATCCAGTTCAATCACATTCTCGCAACCACATCGCTGCATCCAGTCCAAGAGCCCCAGAGGCACAAACCAGCGCAGCTCACTCCCAAAGCGTTCGTTTAGACTCGTTACGGTGTTGTAGTCCAAATGATCGTAATGGGTGTGGCTGATCACGACTGCATCTATTCTGGGGAGCTGCTGTACTGTGCACGGAGGTCCTCGGAAGCGCTTGGGACCCATGAGCTGAGTAGGGGAAGCTCGCTGGCTGAAGATTGGGTCAGTAAGAAAGACAAGTTCATCCATTTCCACCAAAACTGTGGCATGTCCCAACCACGTGACTCGCATGCCAGTTCCTGTCTTCCCGACGAGTTCCGGCTTCTGCACAAAGTAAGGTTTTAACACCGGAAGCTCCTTCTCGAGTTCCTAGCAAAGAAGGACACAATACGCATGAGAGATTTCAGAACGTACGTGGCCGTGGAACAAAAACTGCACAGAAGGCACAAATTGTTATAGTCAAGGCTTGCAAATGCTTTGTTTGCATTTTTAGGCAGAGAACTGCAACACGAAACAGATGCCTTTTTAAATGGCCGTTTACCCGCTACTTCCTCCTAATATGACATTAGGTTTTGGTGACTTTTTCATTTCTCTGTCTAGAGAAAGCTTGAGAGTATCCCATCAGGCCAAGGGACTTGCTAACAGTGAGAGTCTGCAAACATTGCCCTGAAAGCGCTGTAAGGCACTAACAGCATCCTGGGAAAGGCTTTGCAATTGCTTGACCTTCCCCAACCTGGAAAAGAATATATATACACTCTGTCACTGTAACAAAAGTTCAAGTTTAGCTTGTGCAACTAAATGATGCATCACCCAAGTCCTAGCACAAGTCAGTCACAAACCCACGGATGAAAAAGAATACCATATTCCCAACAGCACTCCACAAAAGCTCTGCTCTATTAGCCTTTAGCAGACACCCCCCCACACCCCCTCCCCGTTATGCACAGACGCAGCACATGCAGGTTAACCTCACTTGGCTAATGCTAGCTTTTACAAGTCTCTCTTCCCATCCTGCCAGTAACTCAACGAACATTCATAAAACACAAACTCATTTTAAAGACAGACCTTAAGGCACTTAGCTACGCTTCTCCTGATGTTTTATTGAAGCCTTCACAGTAATTAAAGTTTAATTATTACTGAATAAATCACTGTACTGTTCTCCCTGTATGTTCAGGATGCAGTCCCATGAATGATTTCAAATCAACCTAAATCCATATTCCACAGTAACAAAGTTATGGAAATCTTCCCCCACCTCCTCTCTTGTTCCCCTGTGAATATTTATGCAGTCCCCACTCAAGTCTGACAGGTCAGAGAACAGTAATTCAGAGGAGGAAAACAGCTTTCAGCTCGACCAGCTTCCACGCCTGACTCTATGTGTAACCTCAGGTTAGCACAAAGGAGGCCATGGCTGTACATCTTCGTCCAACCACCACTCATCCTCTTATTCTGAACCAGAGTTACATTCTTCACTGCAGTTTAGTTGGGATGCTTAGGCACAGTTTTATTTGTAATAAATAAGAGTTTTCCTATTAAAAAAAACACAAAAGGTCATGGAGTTCCTGGCCATCTCCAGCTCTGCCACAGCGTGGCTAAGTCTCTCCTCCCAAACAGTTCTGTCTTGAACTCCTCCCATCACTTTAGAAGATTTTTCCTGTGTTAGGCAGCTCCTTCGGACTCCAAACATTCTTGTCTCCTTGGCAATCACCCATGTCCCAGCACTGCTGGTTCCTACTCAAGTTCTCCCTGCAATGGTTGCTGCTCCCCTTCTCTAGTCTAGGAGAGCGGATCAGCAAGCTTATACAGAGCTGACCTCCCGCTCCCTTAAAAGTCCAGCTGACCTGACAGTTGAGGAGATATCCCTTGCTAAAACAGTCCTTACAGCTTCAGGAAAGTTAATCTCTTCATAATATTTTATTGTTTTGGAGGTCATGTGTTGGGGAAAAAACACTCACACCTCCACCTCTCTGCAGTTCTACAGTAAGTAAGAAAATATTCATGAAACTACTTTTTCTGAAAGCTAGCAGACATGACATGTCTACTGAAAGAGTTCCATTACTGTCTCCAGGAACAAGAAATAGGAAACGCTCTGTAAAGCTGAATATAAGGTCAGTACGACGCAATTGCTTAATTCATACAAGAATAAACAAAGTATGAGTATTAGATGGAGACAAACTGCTGCTTCTCCAAGAAGGAAAGAAGCATCGCTTCCTTATCTCTGTCTCATGCTCCGTTTCAGTGTTATTCAAGTACACAGGAATGACACTGGCAGCAGAAATCTGAGCCACAGAGAGTGTTATATTGTGACACTTCAATTATGAAAACAAAACAAAAAAAAAGTGGAAGATCCACAAAACTAACATAATACTTTAAAAATGCAAATTAGGACAACCCCCCAAATTACACATGGTTAAGAACAAAAATCAGATTACAAAAAAAATTAAACTCTGATATAGAATAATTGTCATAATGCAGTTTAGGTTAGAAAGTATGTTATTTTAAATGGAAATGGTCTCTAAGTAGCTGTTTGTAGAGGCAGACTACAAATTATTCTGAGAACTCTAGATGAATCCTTCATTTTTGCTGACTTCATTTTTGCTGACATTTGACACATTTTTTTTAATTACCATTGTGCAATATTAATAAACAATCCTAAATGGATGAAGAACTTGCTAATTGGCAGATGTGAATGACGAGTTCTTAACTGGGACTCAAACATATTGTACTAGTTTTGCCTGGGATAGAGTTAATGTTCCTAGTAGCTCCTGTGGAATTACAGGATTAGCTTGTATAGCTCATCACCCAACTCGTAAGATTTCAAAGTAAAACATGAGTTCTGTGGCTGTACGCTTTATATGAAATTCTTAAAACTCCTACAACAGGATAAAACAACATAATGAACAAAAGACATAATCTTAGGGAACTTTTATCTTGCTACAGTACGTTTTGTTCTCTGTCAGACTAACCAGAAACATATTAATGCTACAATTATAACAGGTCTTTGAAATATGGCATTAATGTCAAATCAGCTACCAACAGAAGCAAAATGTGCCTTATACTGTCTTATCTTCATCACTGGGGTAATACAAAAATTCCTCCTGCTGCACCCCTTCCCCCAGACATGTTGTTCTTTCTTCCCTAATGCAAAGCAATAAGAAACACATGACGGGCTTTGATGACTAATTAGTTTGGGATTTTTGGTGTTTAGTGCCTACTGGAATACCACTGGATTTTACAGAAATGAGAGCAAACCAAATTGTTGTTCCAGCAACTAATAATTAAAGATTTTACAACAGCACTGAAGTGATTAATAAAGCCTGTAATGAAAATACAAGTCTATGCATTCTGGATAATGACATAAGCTTGCTGTGAAGGCATGATTATAATACATATGGCTTTTATACAGTGAAGTACATATCCTGGATAATGTGCTTTTTTATATATGCAAAGCACTTGGTGCAGATAAACTGAGCCTGCGCAGCACGGCAGGGTACCACTAGGCATACTCAGCATGGAAACTGAAGTAGCAGGACATGCTATCTGGCCCTGCTAAGGTAAGTATGGAGCCTGTAGCTGGAATTTTAAACAAGCTCAGAAGTGTTTACAGGTTGATTTAGGTGTGGAACAAACACAGCTGGAACAAGCATCGAAATAGCTGAGGACTCAAGAAGTTATTTAATTGATCGTTATCTAGGTTTTTTATTTTTATTTACTTTACTGAGCTCCTGAATAATTGAAGACACAATTAAAAATTTTATATGCAAAGCAATAAAATTACTCCAAAATTAATCCCCAACTGGGTCAGAGCTTCATAACTGGTACAGTGCAGATTTCTTTGTAATCATCCCTTACTGCAGGGATATCTGTAAATTAAAGGGGAGTGCTGCAGCTCTCAACTGCCATCAGAAAACTATGTCTTCTGCACTCTGTAGTGCACCCTAGCACTGCCAGAATTCTAGGTACTTCAGTCACTAACGAGGTTTCTGACTAGTGCTGGCAAAATACAAAGCCTATTGTACACATACGGAATAGGTCCAAGGCAACTGAAAACACCAAGGCATGAATTTTACACAAACGTGGCCAAAGAATGGTAATCGAGCACACTGCGTAGAAAGCTGCACACACCGAGGCACAACCACTGTTACTGCTGCACGGTGCAGGTAATTTCTAGAAGTAGGACATCAAATTTAAAACATTAAGTTGTTGGAAGGGATCCTGTGACTGACATAGATTTGACTTCAGAAAGAAGCACAGCATATTATCATCATAGAACAATTACAGCCAAGATTGTTTCTCCCTTAAATATGTTCCATGCTACAGATCACAGAGTCACAGAATGGTTTGGGTTGGAAGGGACCTTAAAGACCATCTAGTTCCAACCCCCCTGCCATGGGCAGGGACACCTTCCACTAGACCAGGTTGCTCAAAGCCTCATCCAGCCTGGCCTTGAAGACAGCCAGGGATGGAGCATCCACAGCTTCTCTGGGCAACCTGTTCCAGTGCCTCCCCACCCGCTCCGTCAAGAACTTCTTCCTGGTATCTAATCTAACCCTCCCCTAACCATTTATAACCATTTTAGCCTCTGACTGATCCCTATACATTGTCTTATTCTGTAGTCGGATCACCTTAAGAAATCCCCAAATCTCTGACCATCATGTGTTAATAAGTAGCACAGCTTTCGTGTCTGTAAAGCTGATCAAATTCCCTCCTTCACAGGTAATTTGCCTAAGATGAAAACAGAAAAGTGTAAGCTCTTTGCTAAATACTGACTGTGAGCCTTACAGCTCACGCATACCTTCTTGGGTGTTTAAGAGCATTATTAGCACTTATTTGTTCAAAAATACTTTCCCTGGTGCACCCTTCAGCACAGCTTTTCCAAAGTGCAGTCAGCACATTAGAAAATACACTGAGAAATAATTCTGTCAAAACTGTAGCCACTGTAACACTTGCTGTGGCCACAAAGATAACCCGTGACTTCGCAGTATCCGTTACTCTCCATGGAAAAGCAGCTTCTCCCAGAGGCTGCTTCCCCCGTCTCCCTCTTTCTATACTCTACCTGACAAAAGCAATACACCAAGAACAAATAATGGTGTTCCCCAGTAAAGTGGCAGTGTACCTTTAGTATTTCGGTACAAATACTTGTTCAGATGTGTTTTAACATACGCTTTTTTTTTTGTCCTGGTGTACTGAAATGGAAACACAGATTTGCAAACACTCCCATAAGGAAGTGACAGCAACTATTTATTACATTTTTATGAAGATGCAACATGCAGTAAATAGCAGTCTGGAAAAGAAAAAAGGGCAACATTTTTCAACTGAGATATGCCACAGCTATTTCATGCAATACAAATGACGTTAGCAGGATGTTTCTCCTATTAAAGGAAAAGAGCATAGTTTATGATTGAGTTAGAGGGCCATTTTTGCTGGTTTTGGAAATACAAGCCAAGCTGGATAAATCAAAGGGTGTAGAACTAACAAAAAGGCAGAGAAGGAATAATTAGAGGCAGAAAGTATTAATCCACTTTTTGAAAACAAAATTATAAAATCTGAAAACCAAGAAAAGTCTCCAAAAGATGCCTAATAAGTATTAGTTAGAAACTGTCCTATTTTATTGATTAGGGCAGAGGTAAAAGCAGTCTCAATCAAAACCAAAAGACATGCAAGTATTTACCTGCTTTGAGCGTGGCACATTGCTGTTATCTTTTTCCATGAGGGACCATTTCAAAACATTTGGCAAGGTTGGCGTTTTCCATGTTGGCCACGGGTTGACAAATCTCCCATCTTTGCCTCGCCTTGATTTAGTTACATCCTCTTCTAATCTGTAATCCAGCCTGAAGCTTTTTCTGGAGGTCCTGGAAGAATCGCTGCCCCTGGAATCTCGACCCGAATTCTGACATTTCTTCACTGCTTCTTTAGGGTACTGGTTACCTGCAGTCAAAGGCTGCTCTTCATTCGTTTTCTTATCCATATCTTTTTGAGGAGAACTAAAAAGAATTTAAATTAATTAATCTTTTCTTGGACTAACATCAACTTCCGTAAGATTGAATGTTCTCACACACATCAGAAACAAGCCTGCCCTTCTCATTTTATAATAATCAATTGTATTTTTTCCCCTTCAAAAAACCAAAGAAAAGCTTTTAAAACAGTTGCTATTACACAAAAAGAGTTCAAAAACATGCTGTGGCAAGTAGACACGTGATCTCTTTGTAGTTCAGGCAGAATTCTCGGTATGCACAGCTTCAGATAGTAAGATCATTACCTACCAAAGGCAAGAGTAAGGGGGAAGGGTTCCATAACTTACATTTTGGAAGAATAGTTAAATTCCTTCTGAAACTTAGGACATTTAGTCCCTGATTTAATACAAACCTCCAAACCTGTCCAAGAGACACTGCAACCATACAGCACCTTAGGATTTGCCTAGTGACTTTGTTTTGCAGTAAGAGAAGCAGCCCCATGTAGCATTAATAACACGTTACTTCTACCGACAAGAGGGACAGACATGCAGAGAAGTCAGAACACAAGACATCTAGTCCCATGACCCATTTTGCCCCAAACAAACTTTTACTGTTATTACAATAAACTTAACTGTTTCAAACACAATTTTGATACACATTTAACTGAACCGACTAGTGAAAGACCATAGAAAAATCGGAACATCAAATAAATCATGACTGCAACATCTGTTGTGAAATAGAAAAAGTGAGAAAACAACTGAGAAAAGCTTATTTCTATAAAGTCACAACTCTGGCACATTTCTTAGAAAACTGCAAACTCAGCAGTCAGGAGTCTCTTCTTCCAAACTACGCTTGGGTGTTGCAGAGCGTAGGAATGTGGAATCCTATTGATCTCTTCACATCCAAGGTAGAAAATCAAGTATCCGCATTTTATTTTAAAGGCTGCTGCAGCACTTCAGTTGAAGCCAAATGCTGCAGCTCCTACATTTACTCTCAGTATTTCAGTTGAAAGTAAATATAGTGTTCTGAGAGGGGCTTTTTTGGTTGTTGGGTTTTTGGGGGGGTTTTTTTGGTGGTATTTTGTTTTGTATTTTAAATAAGTTGCTATTTGAAGAGTGCACAACTTTCTGGTACTTACAAACTCTACTTGGGAAAAACTAGATAATGGCCAGTAATAAACAGACAGCATAATAAACTGCTTAAGTAAAGGAATAATTTTAAATAAGAAATAGTGACGTTTGTCCTGTGGAAAACTCTCCACCACATGTATTAGCCTAGCTACTATTTCATTAACTCATACTCAGACTTTAGCTGTATACTCATATGAGAAGCACGGGGCTGATGTACCACAGCCAGCCCACTCAAAACAACATTATTAGAGTACAGAATTAAAGCCCACAGTTTCCTTAGAAATTGCAGAACTCCCTGTGCCCCTCACAAGTTCATAATTACAGGGAAAAAGAAATATATTGTCACTGCAACATTACAGCTGAGATTATAAACACACAGAAGTGCTATCAAACTGAACCCAAGTGCATTTACTGGTGATGCTCCAGCTCCAAACACAGGAGCCCTGCTACTGCAGCAGCAGCAATCGATTACTAAACAGAAAGTATGGTGTCAGTTGCAAACATATGACAGTTGATAAATACTGTGACATTTTCTTAACAAAATAACCATTATTTCGTCATACAGTAGAGATATTAACACGTCAAAATTCACTTCTGATAAAGAAGCATGAACAACACTCATAAAACATTTCCAAAGATGTTTTTATATACATAAAGAGTACCCTTGTGTTAATGTAACTGCTTCGTACTCTAGATTGAACCCTCAACATCAGAAGGATATAGACCAGTTGGAGCGAGTCCAGAGGAGGCCACAAAGATGCTCAGAGGGCTGGAGCACCTCTGCTATGGGGACAGGCTGAGAGAGTTGGGCTTGTTCAGCCTGGAGAAGAAAAGGCTCCGGGGAGACCTTACTGCAGCCTTCCAGTACCTGAAGGGGCTCCAAGGAAGCTGGGAGGGACTTTTTACAAGGGCCTGTAGTGACAGGACAAGGGGTAATGGGTTTAAACTGAAAGTGGGGAGGTTTAGGTTAGATATCAGGAAGAAGTTCTTCACGGAGAGGGTGGTGAGGCACTGGAACAGGTTGCCCAGAGAAGCTGTGGATGTCCCATCCCTGGAAGTGTTCAAGGCCAGGCTGGATGAGGCTTTGAGCAACCGGGTCTAGTGGAAGGTGTCCCTGCCCATGGCAGGGGGGTTGGACCTAGATGGTCTTTAAGGTCCCTTCCAACCCAAACCATTCTATGATTCTATGATCCCCTGCAGTTTTACTGCAGCCACTCAATTTATGTATTTTCTATTTAGCAGTAAGATACCACATCTGCATCACAGTTTTACCGTAACTGCTAATACTCCCAGGCTTTTTTCTCTATTCCGCTAACCATTTACTGGAATCGGCCTGCAATGGCACAGCCACCCAACTCGCTTGATACCACTTTAAGCAGACAAACTGTGACAAAAAAAATCAGTGCCACAAAGAGGCAGACGGAATACCCCAAAAATTGTAATGGCTATTTTAGCTGTTACTTTAACTAAAGAGGGGCTTGTTGGGGGATTTCTTTTTTTTGGCATTCCTCAAAGAGCATTTTCAGTGCCAAGTCAGCTTATTAATTTAGCAAGGCACGCAGACACGACATAAAACATCTACTCTTCTAGAAAGCATCAGGAAAACAAATCACAAAAGTTTAATCAGATAGATACTTAATTCCCGGAAATTCTTCTGTTAACATCTCTGATGTCTGATTTTTAAATATATATAACTACTGTAATTATTGTTCCTACAAGACATTTTATATTAGAGACTGGAGTGCCTAAGGTTTTATTTTTAAGCTTCCGTTTATCTATTCATTCATCTCTAAAAATCAGTGAATTCTACTTTTGCTTAAATTTTCATACAAACCTTTGATCTTATTCTGAAAGTATAAACCTCTAGGGGAAGTAGGGATCAACTACGTTGATTAAACAAAGACAATGCCAAAGCATTTAAGGCACTGCAGGTATCTGTCTGCCAGCATATTTTCCACATGATGCACATACATTACTTTCATTAGTATTCCATAAGCAACTGAAGGGATAAAAGACCTCAGTGCTCACAGAATATTTTAAACCCTTTTACATGCATAAGAAAAAGGGACACATTTACAATTAACTGACAAAAGTATTCCTGATGAACTGTGGATTCCTTTGAAGTATTAATCTTGTCAGTTCATTTCTGTTTCATTTAAACTGGTAAAATATATCTGAGAATATTCGTGGAATTTAGTAAAAGAAAACTGATTTTTCTTATTTAAAAATATGGTAGATTACAGTTTCTTGAAAGCCAGCAATCATTAGCTTTAAATAAAACACAACCAGTTATTAGTCCAAAAAGATTCTTAGCCTTTTGCAAAAGACTCTACAGACATGGAGATTTGGCGGGTATATTACAAAATACCCAATCAGAAATGAGCTGATTTTTTCATCTAGCTTTGCCGAATTCTTCCCCCCAAAAAGCAGTACTTTGGCACTTCAGAAATAAATTTAAGGACTGGATTGCCAGCCAAATTATGAGCAACAGAGACACCAAATTCAAACTGCAGTTGTGCTTACTTGGGAGGGAAAGGGGTCATGTTCTTGGTGAATATTTGTTACTGTAAGGTTCCACCAGAAATCTTCTATTTTCCACACTTCTAAACAAAAAGGAAATCTACTATTCTACTTAAAAGCATTAAACTGCTTTCTTAACAAATGGATGCCATCCTTCAGGAGGAGGTGACTTACCCCCAAACAAGGGCAGGTGGGTTGCCACCATCTGGAAGAGGGGCTCAGGCAAGACGCAACGCAACCACCCTCTCTGTGCTCAGAGGTGCTTTCCTGTTTCAACTGTATCCAAAAAAGGCGATGGACCAAGGCATCCCACCGCTGAAGGAGACCATTAGTCACACCAAATCCACACGGCCAGAAGGTACTCCAGACAGAGGGGAAGAACACCACTCTGATGAACAGGATGAAGTCTAACATGAATCTAAACACAGAGCTCACAGAACTGGTTTTCCAGCACCAAATACTAAGGGGCCCCTAGTAACCTACAAAGCAAGAGAGGAGTTGTAGATCAGGCAGTACATGGCATGGAAAACCCATGTCTTACGTCCCAGCAAACAGGATATAGCCCTTCAGACAACAGGTTTGGGGTCAATTGATTATTTTAGCATTGCTTATATATCTGAAAACTTGGCTACAAATATTTTGACTTTGAATCTCCTGTTTCTTTAGGAAAATAATTAAAAGTTAACTAAACATTTTAATACTTGCTGTTCCAAACGAAGGTTGGAAACGGAATACATTAAAATTACAAGCACTCTGACATTCAAATTTTTCTTTTTAAATAATCTTTTTGACATAGCAAGGCTTCAAGCCAAATTATTTTAGTTTTATTTGAAGAAGAAATGCATCAACAAAAATCCTATCGTGTAAGTCTTCAACTTTTCACCCAGTCTCCTGTAACAGCCACTGCTCCGTAACTGAAATGGATGTAGCTTCCTCTACCAAGCAGACAGCCATGCACAGGCACGCTGCTAACCATGAAGTCTGCCAGAACAGATTTATCCTCCTTTTCTACACAGAAATGTGGTCCTTATTTAATAAATCCATAAGCCAGAAAGTTTCTCAGGAAAGAGTACTATGAAGCTATGGTTTACTGAACCGGAGCTTTCTGCAAGCCATATACTGCTACACAGTTCCTAAATTTTCTTTTTATGACTGCAAAAAAGCACAATTTTTGGCTTGAAACAAAAAAAAAAAAAAAAAATTCCACTAAAAGGCAAGGTAGTTGCAAACACCAGGGAACATGTAAGTAATTTTTTGAAAAAAGGCTCCTGCATGCTCAACTATCAAAAAAACCTGCCAGTAAGTTGTTTTGGCTGTGCTTTTATTTTTCCTTCACGTCTGAAACTGCTTTCATTAATGAACAGTTTGAGAGT